AAAGAATATGCATTTCCAACAGGTCCCCAGATGATGCTGACGCTATGGTCCCGACCACACTCAGAACCGCAGCACTTCCCTCCTCTTATGGGCAGCATGTTATGACTTACGGAGCATTTGCACATCACCTGGTTTCATCTGCTCTTCCCCACAGTCCTGGGAGAGAAGAGGGCAGGCAAGGGTGGGGTGGCCATACACACTTTCTTGCTAAGGAATACGAGGAGTGTCAATTGAGCAGGGCAGTGATGGTTGCATGAGCACCTTCACTGCTGCCTGCCAAGCCCTAGTTATCAGACTCCTGTGCCCCTATATCATCATCAACTCCCACCATGCAACTCGCCCACTGAATTCCAGCAACACAGACCTTCTCTCCAACCCTGGAACACGGCACTTGTTCACCCCAGAAGGCCCCGCATCTGCACTCTCTGGGGAGGACACTGTTTGTACCCTTGCCCTGCACTCCTCCCCATCTCCTGTAGCCCCATTCTCTTTTCTTCCTCTGATCACCCGCACGGTGTTACCCAGAAGCTGATGAAAACAAAGATTACTGGTCCCACTACAGGATGCTACTTTTTTTTTTTTGAGTTGGAGTCTCACTCTGTCGCCCAGGCTGGAGTGTAGTGATGCTTATGGCCACCACAACCTTGACCTGCTGGGCTCAGATGATCCTTCCACCTCAGCCTTCCAAGTAGCTGGAACTACAGACACGCGCTACCATGCCCAGCTAATTTTTTTTTATTTATTTATTGTAGAGATGAGGTCTTGCCAAGTTGCCCAGGCAGGTCTCGAACCCGCAGCCTCAGGCAATTCACTCACCTCGGCCTCCCGAAGTGCGGGATTGGCCGGCTGAGCCACCGAGTCCAGCAGGATGCTACATTTTTAACAAGCGCTCCAGGTGATTCACAAGTCCATGGAGTGTGAGAAACACTAACCCACAAGCCCTTGTCATGTGATGTGGCATGATCCACCTTGGGGACTGAGGCAGACCTTCTTCTCCAGCCTCACCTTCCCCAAGTGCCCCTGAAATGCCACGCAAGCCCTCTCTCTGCCTGGGGGCCTTCTCCTCTTTTGTCATCTGGGGAACGTGTTCTCTTCCTCCCTGATGCAGCTCACTTGCCACCACCTCCAAGAAGCCTTCCTGGGCTCCACAAAGCTAAGCTGCTCATGCCTTCCTGTATTCTTTCAAAACAATGAATTTGTATTGAATTCACTGTATGCAATGAATTTGCTTCTCATTGTACAATGAGGCCCAACTTCTTCATTGGGTCTTGGGGTCTGGAGCCACCCAGGCAGGATCTTTACTTCAGTTGAGACAGAAAAGTAGAAAGAAGGGTAAGTAATGTCCTGAAAACATGACAGCCCTTCCCGATCACTCCTTAGGCATGTTCACATTCATTGGTGATGTCTATGTGATAGCCTATGAGGTTAGTTTTGTCACTCAGATCTCACAGGTGGGGACACTGAAGCAAAAGCTCCATGTGGAGACCATACTGCTAATGAAAGGCAGAGCTAGGCCTCCACTTCAGCTCCTGCTACACATCTGCGCCACCTCTTGGGCTTGGCTTTTGTCTGCTATGTGAGTTTTCTAAGAAAGTTTCTTTGAAACAGTCCAAATTTGACCCTGATAACTGAAGGGTAGGGATGCAAAATGGGCCTACTTTGGGATCAAGGAGACCTTGGTTCACATCCTAACTTGGAAGCTCTGGGCCTTGGGCAAGTGGCCTCTCTCAACCTTGGTTTTCCCTCCCGTTGGCCAAGGGGTTTCAACAAAACAATGCAGATGTAAGGCATAGCGCAGTCCCCAGGACACTGTAGGTACTTTGTAGTGACAGTTCTCCTCTCTCTTTTCTGATTACCTTGGGTCCAAACAACCAGAAACGTAGACAAACACTTGGAGGCACAGTTGTGCCAGCTGGAGAAACAAACACAGCTGTGAGCTAGAACTGGAGGAACAGAAAGAGGTGAAATTCAGAAAGGGACTTAGCAGTTGGCTGATATTCCTGCCCCCATGCTTTGTCATCCAAGGTCACATCTAGTGAGTGATACTAAGTCTAAGAAACAGGCTAAGCATTGGGGAAGACACTATCCTTGTTTAATTATTCAAAGTCTCCAGAGAATCAAGAGGACTGAAGGCACGAAGTTCTCTCCAGGGGACCTGCTCAAGACTCCCCAGTGTGTAAGTGCTCTGTGCCTGGTCTTAGCAGACTCTGAAAGCCACATAAACTCTGCTTGCCTAGACACCACAAGACCCAGGCCCAGGATCTGTGCTCAGGTTCTGTGCCTTCTCGAGTCAAGCTTTTTTGGCAAGGTTACTCTTCCCTCACTGTTATTTGGTTCTTATTCTCTGTTCTGGGCTTAATAAATGTTTATGGGTTTTTTTTAATTCATGAGTCCTTTGTCAATCTTCTCCTATCCTTTGAAGTAAGGGGGGGGGGTATAAACAAAAAAGGAAGAGCTAGCTACCCTTGTTTGGAGCATGACTAATGGTCAGGAATTCTGCTCTATCCACCAAAGGGAAAATGAGAGAGGACCAGGAGGTGAGCAAGGAAACCACTACCTGTGAACACCAACACACACCTGGTAAGTAGCAGGGCTACTCTTCAAGTCCAGGAGTATGTGGCCAATGCCTAGGAACTTCTAGACTACACTGGTGGGGTCTGCCAGAGAAGATAGAGGGGTGTTAAGGGAGGACAAGCTAATCAGTCCAAGAGCCGCCTGCAAGGGCTCTGGGACCCAGCTCCAAATCAGAGCTCTGGGCGCCATCCCGTGCCCAGTGGGGAGATTGCAGGAGAAAAGAACAGATAAGGAAAGAAACCAGAGAAGGCAGTGCTGGCCAGCACCAGGGAGGAAGGAAGTCTGGCCTCTGCTCGGTATCCCCTGTCAGTTGAGTGCCCTGTTACAGTTGACTATCACACACACACACTTCACCAGGCTTCTTCCTGGTCCAGCTGATTGTTCCCTGTGTGATCTTGGGCAGGCAACTCTCCTCTATGTCTCAGTTTCCCCAACTGTAAATTGAAAGTTTGGGCAAGGTGTAGCACTTTAGCTCTCCTGATTCTCATGTCCAGGTAAGATGAGCACTCTCATCCCCCCTTACTCTGGTCACTCCTGGCTGACACATTCATGCTTCACTCACTTGTAAAGTCCTCCAGGGCCACCTGCAGAAATTCCAGCCATCATTCAAGGATCTCATGCAGGATTTCTCCCTCCTTGCCTGCTTGCTCTTTGCTCCATCTTCTCATCTGAAGTTCCCCCTTTCTGCTTCAGCTACAGTCAATGAAACTCACCTGCTTTAGCCCTGAGCTCCCTCAGCTCAAGAGCGTTTCTCAATCATGCATTTCTTCCTCCTCACCAAGCCTAGCAAGGTGCCAGGCACAGAGTGCTTAAGAACTCCTGCCCTGAAGCCAGTCAGTCGGGCTGCAAGCCCTATGTGTAGGCAGGATGACCCTCCCCACCGAAGATGTCCATATTCTAATCCCTGCAACTTGTGAAGATGTCACCTTATATGACAAGAGGGATTTTGCAGATGTGATTAAAACAAAGAGCTAGAGATGAGATTATTCACGATGATCAGAGTCATCTCAGTATAATTGCAAAGGTCCTTTTAAGACCCAGAGATGGGGGTCTCAGAGTCAAAGAGATGTCATGACAGAAGTTGAGGTTGAAGTGATGTGGGCCGTCACCCAGGGTTTCAGGTAGCCTCTGGAAGCTGGAAAAGGCAAGGAAACAAAAGCTTCCAGAAGGAATGCAGCCCTGCCAACCATCTTAGACCTCTGACCTAAGAACTCTGAGGTAATTAATTTGTGTTGTTAGCTACTCAGTTTGTGGTGATTTGTCACAGCAGCCATAGGAAACATCCTGGTTCAACTTCTTATGAGATTTGTGACTTTGGAAAATAACCTCTCTATGCCTCAGTTTCCTAATCTGTAAAATGGGGATGATAAAAGTAATAATTCTTCTCTCACAAGGTTGTTGTGAGGATAAAATGAAAATATTTGCAAATCACTTAGAACAATACCCAAGGTTAAAGGTCTTAGCTATAACTATAAGAGTAGTTCATAGCTACCATCAGTTGAGAGCCTGCTATGTACCAGGCACAGCGTCAAATGCCTTAGAATTTCCACAATTCCTGCCATCACCCTCGGGGGTAATGATATTACTCTGCGCTTTACAGATGAGGAAACAGAGTAATTGGCTCCAAATCAATCTAGGATGCATTTTAGACTTTGCAGTTTCTTGTATGCACCTGGGAAATGGTACTATTTTGTGCTCTTTACTGATAGGGATGCTTTAGGGGGGACCGTAGGGTGACAGAAGAAGGGCCACCGGCTGGGCACGGGAGTCCTAGCTGACACTTTCTCTTCCTACCTAGTGGAGGGAGATAAAAATCCAGGCAAAACTCATCTATCTGCTCCCATCTCATCCGTTTAGGGGTTCAGTTACTGACTCTGGCGTTATCACTCCCACCCTTGCCCAGTCCTAGAAGCTTTGAGCCCGGTTTGGGGGCACCATGAAATAGGCATGACCAGAGAGCGAATGTTCCGTCCGCTGGGGCTTGGGGGGGCACAGACTTGCTCAGACCCCAAGGGTTCCCGCTGCGCCCCCTCCCTTCCTGTAGCCTGCATAAGGAGCCATCTGTTCTCGGCTGAATAAACAAGGAGGGGGAAGCAGTACCGGATCTACTGCCCCCCAGCCCGATCCCCGCACAATGCACCTTTCTCCAAGGAGACGCCGCCCGGGCGCCGCTGGAGCGCGCTCCGTCTGGCCCCCCCTTCCCCTGGCGGCGCAGCAAGACCCACAAACCGACCCTGTGGAAATCAGATTGTTTTTTTAAGAAAAAGAAAACAAAAAACAAATCCAACAAAGAACTGAGCGCAGCACGCAGCGGGGACGTGCGGGTCCAGC